TATTGTTATTCATAAAATTTATTTAATGTCTTCAAACAAATAATTACCAACAAATTTCACTGTACACATGCCAGAATTTTGATGAATCTTTGATATAATAGCTTCGTAAACTTCTCCATCTACTGAGTATATAGCACGACATGGAGCACCAATGGTCCATTTCTATAATATGGTAGCACAAACTAATTTTTATAAAATATTTACACACTTCTAATAAAACTTAACAAAATAAGTACAATATGTCATACCTTAAGGGGCTTTATTGTGTGACTTGAACATTTGTTCTGTGATTTATATCTTGCCTGCTGATCTTGAGTATCCATAGCAATACGCTTTGCTACTTCTTCCTTGGCCAAGTTGACAGCTTTGTCATATGCTTGTATCAATGCAGTATCATCCCAAAGATCTTCATTTTCATTTTCCTACAAATTGTGGAAGTCGCAATATTTCGGGAACTAGTATGAGTATATATTTATCACTTTTTACATTTTACATGTTCATTACTTTAAACTTATCCGGCTCTTGTAAATTTTTATATTAATAAAACTTGTTACTCTTAAAAGAATACATTTCTATCATTATCATTATTTATTCATATCTATCATATTTATCTCATTTTTTGACTGCATTTTCATAGCATTTAAAATTAAACAAATATTTAGAATGTAATCAAAGTAAAGAAACAAAGAATACAAAAACTAAATGGAATTAAAGACGAATTAAATATTTGTAAAAATAATCAAAATATCTTTATCATTTCATGAAATAATACGAAAAGATTCTCTCACGTACATTTCCATTTCTTCTTAAAAACAACACATTACTTTCGTCTGCCATATCTCGTCTTATACGAATAATATGTCTCAATTTTAAGAAAGAAAAATTTGAAACTACGTTACATATGCTTCTATTCTACAGACGCCAAACACGTCCTCCATATTCTGATTTTAGAGACCTCATATATCGTGCGGTAAAAATTCCAAGTTTTAGGATTCAGAATTCAGAACCGACATTAGAACAAATAAATTATTCGTATCTACATACGTTTAAATTGTATTGATTGGAATATTACACCATAATCTTGTCACGTAATTACATATTCTTCCGATACATTCTGTCAATACTTGAGAATTTACACTTTTGCAGTCGAAAAAATACCGATAGTCGGTAATTGTTGATGTTATCGTACGTAGTTGTCGATTTTGATAATTTAACAACCATATCTCTTTCTTTTAAAAGATCAATATTATAATTCTCAGGAATTAACAAACCGTCATAAAGATAAAGAGAAAAAGATAATTAAAATTTTAAGAATCGTGAATTCTACAAAATATCT